GCAGCCGGACGGTAGCGGCGGCGGCGGCGGCGGCGGCAGCGGGGCTCGGCGCCCTCTTCTCTGCAGACCATGTTTGCCAAAGGCAAAGGCTCGGCGGTGCCCTCGGACGGGCAAGCTCGGGAAAAGTAAGCCCACTGCGAGCGGCGGCCGCGCGCCCCGGGCTGCGGGCGGTGGGCGGCAGGTGGGCGACGGGGTCGGAGCCGGGGGACGCTCCCCTGGGCGCGGGACCGAGAGGCCCTCCGGGTCCGTGATTCCGGCCGCCGCGGCTCGCGGGGAACCCCATTGTTGGGAGCCGGCAGCGGCTGGGCACGGGGAAAGAGTAGCGGGGGCAGCGCGGGCCGGGCACCTGGTGCTGCGGGCGCGGGGACGCGGGGTGGGCGAGGTCCCGGGGCGAGCCGGGACGCTTGTCGCGGCGGCCGCACTTTGCCCATCGGGCGCGGGCAGGGGGCGCGTGGCTTCTGCGGCCCCGGTGGCTCCTTTTGTCCGCCCGCGGTGTGAGGAGTGTTTGCCGGTGGCTTTGTTCGGCCGGCAGCGCTCGCCCGTCCCTGCCCACGGCCTCGCCGGCCGCTCCGCGCCCTCCGGGGCGCCGGGCTGGGCAGAGACGGCGGCGCCTGCTTGCCTTTGGGTTTGGAGGACAGTTGTTAAGAGGGAGGCGGTTCAGGCTGCACTTTGCTTCCCTCTCCCGAGTTCGCGGAGCACCCTGACCGGGGCAGAGCGTACCCGGACCCCGAAGCTGGAACGAGGGTGCGGGCAGGAATGGTTTGGGAGGAAGAGAGTGGCCGGGGTGGCCAGTGACTTTGAGAGAGACCTAGGTGGGTTTGGCCCCAACAAAGTTTGGGGGCCGCTCTCTCTATCTTCCGTGGATAGAGGCAGTGCGTCGTGCCTGGTATCCACCCCCTAAGTGTTCGCACCAGCGGCCCTGCCTGCGGTGGGCTAGCAGCTCACCTCTGGTCGCCACCACAATGGGACAGAGCAGACAGAGCAGATGGCGAGGTCTAGAACCAGCACTCGGTGTACCTGACCCTTCCCTCTCTCTCTTTGCTTCTGTCCACTTTCCAGGTTAGCTTTATACGTCTACGAATACTTACTGCATGTAGGAGCACAGAAATCTGCACAGACCTTCTTGTCAGAGGTGAGTGGGACTCCCCACCATCCAGTTTCATGACACCCCCTCCTCCCCACTATTCTTAGAGCCTTTGTTTTCAGGAGCAGCCACCATGGCCACCATTTTGAATTTTTATCACCTTTTGGCATTTATTGTTAGTTGATCTTCACAGCCTTTTGGCTCCAAGAAGCTCCGGAGGCCTCCTCCTCTGCTCTGACTCTGCTCCTTCTTTTCCAGATTCGATGGGAAAAAAACATCACGCTGGGAGAGCCGCCTGGGTTTCTGCACTCCTGGTGGTGGTAAGTTTGGGTGACAGTTTTGTGTATGTGTGTGTGTGTTCCATCCCTGGGTCCAAGTGAACAAAGACAAGCCTGGAACAGGCCCTCCACCCCTGGTCCTCTTTGCATTGAGCAGGGTACCCCTGGTTTAGACCTGTTCTGGTCACTGAAGAAAGGGCAGGAGAGGCTGTTACCCGAAGTTTTTCCCTGATGTCTGTCCTCTGTGGAACACTCACTAACATTGTGGTGCTGGGGTAGAAACTTTCCTTTTCCGACTTGCTGTGGGCCACTAGAAGAGTTTTTGTCAGTCTTGCATGCTGCTTTAATTAGAGAGGCATGGGGGTGGGGCAGAGTGGAGGGGACATAGGGGCTGCTCTACAACTGGCCTGTCCCTACCTTTTTCTTCTCTATGCTCCAAACATTAGAAGAGAACATATACTGGGCCTTTTCCAGGCACCCTGAGAGAAAGGAAGAAAGGGCTGCACTTCCTGTGAAGATTCTGATTCAGACTGACTGGACCTTCCTGTCCTCTGCCCCCATCCCTCAGCATCCCTGGAACTACAAGGCTTTATTTCACCAAGAGCGGTAGCTGGCCGCAGTAGGCCTTGTGGGGTGCCTGTCACTTGTAGTCAGGGGCTCTCTCCTCTCTTTGACCCTCTCCCCAGGCTTCTGAACCCTGCACCACTAGTCTCAGTGTGGGGTTTTGTGGCAGGCAGCAGGCGGGAGGCTTAGGGTCGAAGGGAGCAAGATTTCATGAGTGTGTAACCTGGGTGTTTTGTGGGACCAGTTGGTGGAGTCTTTTGACATCTTTTTTGAAAAGGAAAAGAAAGCAGAGTGGCTTTTGATATTTTGGTGGAGTTCAGGAAAATGGAGTGTGGAGTCCTTGGGATCTTAGCACATTTACCTGACCGCCAGCTCAGGTTACTGTTTCAAGTCTCTTTGAACAGCAGGAGATGAAGTGTCTGTTCTAACTTGTGCGGAGAAAATGAGTTTTTAATTACTTCTGCTAGCTTCCCAACTGCCTTTAGAGGTGTCCTGTGTGGTGCAAGGATCATACCTGAAGGAGAGAGTGCTGGGTTGGGTGCAGTTGGTTTTGGAGGGCTGGGTGTGGATCGGGTTGCCCACCCCATTGCTCTGGATCATAGAGAAATCTGGGCTTTCAGAGAAAGCTCCATGATGTGCCTGAGAATTTGAAATCTGGAAGTTGCAGTGTGCAGCTCTGGAAGCAGAAAAGGACATTGTGCAGCCCCCCTCTGCAGGTGTTGAACCCGTGGTTTTCTGATTATATACAGAATAGGGGTCTGTGTGACTGGGCTCAGGCTATGCTGGCCTTGAGTACCTCTCTCTGGTCAGGTTTGTAAGAAGTTGCCTCATCTGATTTGACAGTGAGTAGCAGAGGAAGCAGTGAGCTGACGGGAGGAAGGCAGGGAGGAAGGCAGGCATGTCGTTTATGTCCCTTGAGTAAGATGCTTGTCTGGTGACTAGAGCTGGCTCTGATGGGAACAGGAGCACTGGACTGCAAGGCAGACCTCAGTTCCAGGGCTCACTGGGCCCGCCAGAGCAGTTCAGTTCTGGGCCATGTGGCTCATGGTTTAGAGTCTCTAAGGCCCCGTGTTATTACCAGTGCTACCCCATCTTTGTTTAGTGTTTATGAGAGGCCAGGGTGGCATTTTTGGGCCTGTTCTCCTGTCCTCATTCTTTGCTGGAAGGTATGCACCAGAGAGGGCTCTGTCTCAGTGAGAGGGCCCCGAGACTTCATGATACTCTGGCCTCTCCTTGGTGGGTGGTGGAAGGTGGGGTGTAGACTTTCGGATGAAAACTGTGTAAGGTTCACTTATGGCTAGAGTTGCAGGGATAGCCCTGCATAAGAATCACAGTCGTGGGGCCGGGGAGATGGCTCAGTGGAATAAGCGCTTCCCTGGCAAGCACAAGGGCCTGAGTTCAATCCCTGGTTCCGCCAAAAAAAAAAAAAAAAAAAAGAAAAGAAAAAAAAAGAATCACAGTCGTGTCCTGACTCTGCACCTTAACTTTCTTAGGCTGGTTTTTGGTTTGGGGTCATGGTAGAAGGGATGCGGAGGAGAAAAACATGGGTTTCCTCCAGATTTTCTCTGGGCACCCATGGGTGGGCTGTGCATATTCTTCCAAGACTTAGTGACCCACATGTGAAGTGTGTGGTGGCTGTCAATGTGAGACACTAGGCACATGGTAGGTGTGTCGTAGGTGACGACTGTTATTTTTATGGTGGTGCTTGCCTTGTTTTGTTGCTTTATAGGCTGAATTTTTCTGGTGGGTGCTGGTAGGGTGGGATAGAGCCTTTGGGATACCTGGTGCTATTTGCATCGTGTGTTCTGCACTTGCCGCTGTGTGCACAAGTAATCATTAGTAACCTGATCTTATTTTATTTTTCAACTTGCAGCGTATTTTGGGACCTTTACTGTGCAGCTCCTGAAAGGAGAGACACTTGTGAACATTCAAGTGAAGCAAAAGCCTTTCACGATTATGTGAGTAACAGATTTTTAATCCTGGCAATAATTACAGGGTTGGGTGGCTCTAACTTCTTTAGTACCAAAAGCAAACATGCCGCCAGTTGGCAGTGGTCTTTATTTTTCATTTCCTTCCTGTTCTCCTGCCTGCCTACCTCTCGGCTGCCCTCCACTCCATACCCTCTGCACTTGGTATTCCGACTTGGTGAACAGCATTTCATAATGCTGTCGTTATATGGAGGAGTGTAGTCACCCCTCTGGAGACCGGAGTGGTGGAGTGCAGGGCTCAGACTGAGGTTTATGTTACGAGTGGACAGTTAGCTGGGTGGGACTGAACCTGTTGGTTGTTGGTCTGAGAGAATAGGGACTGCAGCCAAGAAAGAAGCAACTGTGAAACTTTGGTGGTGTTGGAATAGAAGGAGAGGTTGAATGAGATTCTGCTAGAATGGCACTTGCCATATTTTCCAGATAACAATTTGGAAGTTTTGGGGGTGGGAGGTACGTGTGAGCATGTGTGTGGGTGTTGTGGGTGGGTGTCACCCTGTGTCCCATAAGACTGCGATCTGAGATACTTGGCCCATAATCCTGTGTCCACAGCTTTCTTGTGATCATAGTTTATTTCATCAGGTGTGATGTCTTCTGGCCTATTATTTGTTTTCTCCCCATGTGAGTTTTTTTTCTACATGAGGTTTTAAAGATTTATGAAGTTCTATTATGAGAGAAATATCTGCCCTGTTTCCATGTACCATGGTGATCCCCTTTAAAAAAAAAGCTGGACATATATGGCATATGCCTATAATTCCAGCCCTTTGGGAGACTGAGGCAGGAGTGCAAGTTGAAGCCCAGCCTGGGCAATTTAGCGACTTAGAAAGATACTGGCTTGTGAAGGGATGTAGCTCGGTACTGCGGGTGGAGTGGGGACTCAGTCTGGGTTGGAGTCAGGCTTCAGGATCTGTGATCAGTGGGAAGAAAGTGGAAAAGGAGGTGGCAGAGGACTTTTGTGGCTTTCTCCTAGTTCTTACTTCCTGTTGGCCCTGTGGATGGTTGAGTGTGCGCGTGTGCAGTGGGTGCTCTGTTTGGTCTTGATCTTTGACATGAGCTGGGTGAGGATGGCCCCATGCTCTGTGCATGGAAGCTGGTGTTTTGATGTCATCAGATTCCATCTGCTCCCTTAGCCCATCTGTGTCCCCTGCATTCGGATGTGAAACTGACCCTCGAGACGAGCCCATCTGTGTGGGTGTCAGGCAGTCCTATCCTAGGGCCATGACTGCTGTTGTGGTGAAAGTCTCCTGCAGTAGGAAAAATTGAGACTGAGCTGGAGACTCCCTAGTTTTGAGCATATTTGATTTGGTGGGGTTTTGTTGTGATTGAAAAGTTCATGTCCTTGAAGTGCAATGCTGAGGAAGCCCACCTGCTTCTGTGCCCGACCAAGGTTGAGAAGGAAGCTGGGAGTGGTGCTTTTGACCTGGTGAACTGTTAGGAAGGAGTAAAGGAAGAGATGACTGGTTCATTCTGATGTGGTTGTTTGGGAAAATTCTGTGGTGTCCATCAGAGGGTTTCCTGAATTGGAGTTCGAAGAAGTCAGAGGAAGAGCAGCCATGTGAAAGTAGCTGGTGGCTTTGACCTTTCTACCTGTGAGAATCTTGCCTTCAAAAAGAACCAGTGGACAACCAACTGTCCACGGTTTATCTCTGACTATTGTGTACATGGTGTCATTTTATAGCAGGAGACCTGTTTCCAACAGGTCTCTTTCTTCGTGTGGGTGGGTACACTGGAAATTGAACTCAAGGCCTTGCATATGTTAGGTGAGGGTGTTCCTACTGACCTATGTCCCGCTCCTTTTTATAAAACTGTATTTTAAGCCAGGCATGGTGGTACACACATATGATCCTAGCACTTGGGAGGCAGAAGCAGGCAGATTGCTGCAGGTTTTAAGCCAGCCACAAAGTTCAGTACCAGCCCCTACTACAAAATCAGCCCCTACTACAAAATGAGCCCCTGTCACAAACCAACCAACAAACAAACAATATTTGGAGACAAAGTCTTGTTCTGCTGCCCAGGCTGACCTTGAACTTGAATTCTTTTGCCTTAGCCTTCTAATTGGCTGGAATTAGAGGGGTGTACTATTCTGCCTGGCTAAACTAGTCTCTTATTATAAATTGAGATCTGTGCTATGTTTACAGAGTACCTTTCAGGGAAGCTTATGATTTTTTTTTTTCTTTTTTCTTTTCCGGATCTGGGGATTGAACTCAGGCCCTTGCGCTTGCCAGAGAAGTGCTTATTCCACTGAGCCATCTCCCTGGCCCGAAGCTTATGATTTTTAACCATGTTTCATACTCTAGGAAAGTGAGCCTCACCTCACTAATTTCTAGTGTGCTCTGGCATCGTTTTATTTATGTGTGTGTTTGAGACAGGGTCTTGCTATACAGTTCAGGCTGGCCTTGAGCTTACTTTGTAGTCCAGGCTGGTCTCCAACTTGCAAGGATCCTCCTGCCTTAGCCTCCCAAAAGCTGGGATTACAGGTGCGTGCCACCACCATGCCCGGTGCTGCTCTGCCCTCTTGAAGCCATGTGGTAATAGCTGAAGCTCGCCCTCGGGTTTGGTGTAGAAGGCTGATGAGGTCCATGATTAAAACTTTTTTTTTCTCTGGTTTGGACTCCATCTGATGTCCTATTTCCCAAGAGGGAGGGAGAATAGAGTGTTGATGGAGACTTTGAAGGAAATTAAGGGGTGGCATTAATTTGGGGGAGTGGGTAATGTAGAGGCAACTGGAAAACTGGCTTTAGCTCAGTAGTAAGGTGCTGGTTGGCCTGGAGGTTTGTTTCCACATTACCATGGTGCACACAGGCAGAAGAGCAGGAAAAGGAGTGGCCTTTTCTCTCTGTCTTTAGGTCTCCGTGTGCGCTCCCATTTTCACCTTCACCTCAGCTCCTTGCTAGTCACTGTGATAGCTGCTGGCTGGGCTTCTTCCTCTTGTCTGGAATGTGCTTCTCTGACCTCCCAGATCCTATCCATCATTTCATTTCTCCTTGTTGGAGGACTTCATGAGGGGCTTCAGACCATGGTGACCACTCCGTCCCCTTGTTCACAGAAGCCACCTGACTGGAGGACCGATAGGCGCTTCCTGTGTGAGCTGTGCACTGACTGCGGCAGGCTCAGTATAATTTCATCTGCCAGGGAGTACGGCGTGTTGCCGACTCTTTCGTAGGTGAAGAGGCTGAGGTTCAGAGAGGTTCATCACATGGCTAGAGTTAGAATAGAGGTCCTGAGTGATTCCAGATTTGGGGTTTCCAAATCTGAACCCTGGCAGCTATTGTTTGTTTGCACCATTCTGGCTAATTTCTCTAGGCTTGTCTTTCTAGCTGCAGCTTATTTTCTCTGTGGTAGAGACCATGAACCATCTATCTCTGTGGCTCCCATAATGCCTTGCACATAGTAGGCACATATGCTAATGCAATGAAATAGGGTAGAACCAAGACAGGTGATTTTTGCACTTGAAATAATCTGGGCCAGGACAGCCATTAGAATTTTTTTTTGGGGGGGCGGGGGCCTGACCCTTAGCTCAGTTCCTGAAGTGGCTGCTTCAACAAAGCAGTCAGGCTTAGGTTGCTGTGGTTCAATGCTCACAACTCAAGCCAGCCGAACATGCCCTGAAGGCATTCTGAGCCAGGTGTACCCCCCCCAATATATAATATATTTTTTGTTAATGTATTTGGTATAGGGTCTCACTACACCATTCACATTCATGGTAATTCTATTTTTTTTTTTTTTTTTTTGTTTTTTTGGCGGTACCAGGGATCGAACTCAGGACCTTGCACTTGCCAGGCAGGTGCTTATGCTGCTGAGCTATATCCCCAGCCCCACAAGCGCTTGTTCTATGAGCCATCTCCCTGGCCCTGATACAGATTCATGGTGATCCTCCTGTTTTCAGCCTCTCCAGTGCTGGGATTACAGGCTTGTGCCACCATGCCCAGTGTCAGTGATGAGCTCGGTGTGCCCAGGGGCGGGGCCAGCGCGGCATGTGATGCTAGGGATTGAACTCCAGTCTGTGAGCTTGCCTAAGCACGTGCATAGCTCACTGAGCTATCTCGCCAGGCCTAGGATGTTTTTTGAAAGATATTCCAGTGGCTCCTATTTTGTAGGTGAGCTGAGCAAGGTGATTTTATGGATAGTTAGCTAGTTGCCTTAAATCCTTTTTAGAAATCAAGTGAAGTGTAAATAGGAGTGTTAACTGCCTTTGTGTTTTCTATCAAGGAGATTCAGCTATTTCAGACACTAGTCCCAGTTTTTGGTGGGTAGTGAGTGCTTGTGGGGCAGGGAGGAGGAAAGGTCCTGATTGCTCTGGGGTGGAAAGTCCTGGTCCCGGTTCTGTGAAGCAGTGCTGTAAGTCCTTTTCCTCATGGCTGTTGAGTTGGCCCATCTCCGAGGCCCCTCCTGGGTCAAGGCCAGACCATTCGGGCCTGGAATGAGCCCAGCAACTCTGCCGGGAGAGAGCCTGAACTGTCCTTGACTTCGTGAGTTTTTCTTTGAGTCACTGTCTATTTTCCCCTCACACCTGGCCATTTGGGTTTTCTCGGCTCATTGTTTATTAGCCCTGATGTTGATCACATACAATGTGGAACGCTGGGGATTCAGGGTCTGAAGTGGACTGTTCTGAGAAGTGGGCTTGCTCTAACTCAGGAGATTGCCTGACGCCATGAGAAGAGGGGCCCAGGCCCTGTGTGGCGTCCTTGCCCTTTCCTGTGGGTGGGAGTAGAGCTCAGCATGTGGAGGGGTCCTGCTGAGCTCCCTCCATGCTGATCTGGCCTGGCCTTTTGTAGAGAGGATGCTCCCAACTAGGCAGGTGTCTCTTGGGCCTCTTACAGAAGATGGTGTCTGGTCCCTTCTTGGATCACCAGTCTGTCCTTTTGTGAGCACATTTTGTGTCTTCTTTTGGTGGCAAGAAATGCACAGAATATGTTGGTGCTGTGGTGTCTTGAGGATCCCATCGTACCTGCTGTGCTTTTTGTAACGCATTT